TGTGGAAAGGACTCCTTTTAACTTCAGTGAGCTCTGAGAATACATGTCATGATAACTTATAGGCATATAATGTCTTCTGATGCATTTGCCTAACACAAATGTAAAGCTATATAAATTTCAAACCAAGTATAACACATGCTTCATTTTGTCGTGCATATCTGCTCATCTAAAATTCTGGGTTTGATTAGTGAATTATGAAAATAATTACCTGTTGCCATCAACTTAAAATGTTGATCATGATCTTCAAAGGCAGTGGTAATATGTGTAGAGCTTCAGTGGAAGAGGAGATATATCCTGTGATATACAGTATGTAAAGCAATTCTTTGATTCATCAGTGATACCAAATGTAACCAAATGTAACAAAATGTATCAAATGTACCAAAAATGTACCAAAATGTAACAAATGTACCAAATGTAACAAAAGACCAGGCATTTCACACGGAGTTGTTGTAACAAAAGACTAACTCTACTCTGTTTTCTTTGGATTGTGAGGACACTGTTTGAAAAAGTGCAGATACGCCTGTGTATACAGGAATACTGGTTATTTTCCCTTTTATTTATTCAGAGACAGAAAAATGATCTTGGGTTTGGGTATTTTGTATGTTGGTTGTGTGGGGTTTTTTAATTGTTATTTAGGTAAAAATTTTGGTAGGGAAAGTTCTAGCTTTACAATTACTTGCTTTTAAATTTTCTTCATAGAAAGTGTGAGGCTTCTGTTGCCTTATCCGTTGGTATTCACTATATCTTGCTTAGAACTCATCAATTACTGTGAAGAGTAATTGCTGTTTCTCAATGCTTTCCATCATCTCCACGTGCATTCAACACAGGTTGAAATAAATGCATTGAAATTAAAATGCATGCTGCAGCTGGTGGAAATCATTGGTGGAAAAAGTTACCAGCTTTTTACAGGTGGGAAAATAGTTGGCTGAATTAGAAAAAATGGTAACTTCTAGCGTGAATGTTGTTATGTGGGACTCATCCTCCAGCATACTGAAGTAAGATTCTTCTAGAAAGGCTAATCTCAGCTCAAATCTTTTTTGTCTTATGTAATACACAAATATGCCTATCAATAATTAATTCCATAATGACTGATTAAGCAGGGGTGGTTGTTGCTCTAGGTAAATGTCTCACATTAATAGTCCCAGCCTCTTTATCCAAGCACCTGATACATCCCATTAAGTCTTCTTGCTCATCTATCACTCCGAAAGTGTCATTAACTTCTTAACTCACCTCAAGAATCTGATGTATTGATTTGCAGGTGAAATTTAAACANATAAAGTCTTCTTGCTCATCTATCACTCCGAAAGTGTCATTAACTTCTTAACTCACCTCAAGAATCTGATGTATTGATTTGCAGGTGAAATTTAAACATTTTGGTCAGCAAGGCTCTCAGAACAAAATCCAGTCATTGTGATGAAGTTTCCTTGTGTTCTGTTCAATGACAGCATGCTATAAAAGAACCACAGTGAAAATATGACTGATACTAAGCAGAGCTTTATTTTTTCAGTAGCTATTTCAACCACTTCATTCAAAGCGACCTTTAAAAGTAGCAATTACTGAATCTCAGTGCTTCTCCTCCTAACTCAAACCAGCCAATGTCACTGTATTTCACTTGGTTCTTAGACAAGCAAGGACAAATGCATTTATACACTTGTATAAGTTGAAAACACGGCCCAACAACTGATGGCATATGTGATTGTTGTGTTCTTTACCAGCAAGCTATGCTGCCGTTGTTCTTCCCATTGCTGTCTTCCCAATGCAATAACTCTCCTTTTCTCAATTTTTGGATGGCTTTTGAACAAACAGCCTTAACAGATATTTGTATTAATATACTTCTGCAGTGCAGCTCAGATCTCACAGAACAACTGCTTTATTCCTCTTACTCAAATAGACAAATAAGCCTGTCAGCTGTATTTGACTTTCTTTTGCTGTTTGTTACTCACTCATTTAATTTCTCAAACTTTTTCCTCTTTTCCTCATTTATTTTTATGAGCATCTATATTCCATTTATGTGTCCATGTTATCCTGTGTGGTTCAGATTACTGTTTTCACTATTTAATGAACATATTTGTATCACCCATGACAAAAATAAAAAGAAGTATTTAAGTTTGTTCTTTAGTTGTTGCTTGGATTTGTTTTCATATTTCATTATACTGGACATACATAATTTAGAAAGAAATCTTATTGTCAGTATTAGGGAGATACTTTTATAAATGTAGTTTTTGTATACATCTAATGTAGATGTTTTTGATGTTAATATGTGTGACTTGCAAGGAGCCAGTGCCATGAACCTTTCTGTATCAGATAAAACATAGCATACAGAGTGTTTGCCTGCCTTTTTAATAGCTAAATGAATATTCTTTTCTAAATTGCTCTTTCTAGAAAATCGAAGATAATCTTCAGTTTTTGTTTTCCTTTTGTTCAACTAGTGCTAACAGCAAAAAAAAAACAACATAGAAAACTGCTTTAGGATAATTCTGTAGCAACCTCTTCATTAGTAAAGGTCATCACTGAAAACCAAACACATCTCAAAATTACAGAATTGGAATGGAATGGAATGGAATGGAATGGAATGGAATAGAATAGAATAGAATAGAATAGAATAGAATAGAATAGAATAGAATAGAATAGAACAGAACATTTCAGCTGGAAGGGACCTACAATGATCATCTAGTCCAGCTGCCTGGCCAGATGAGGAAATAAATTAATTTTTTTTTTTTGCACAATTCTAAGTAAAATAGAAAAACTTATAAACTCAGCCCTGGGAGGATTGTTTGAAAGTGAATTTGACAGTTATTAGGAAAGGAGTTAGAACATATATTCCTTTTTTAATTGCTCTAATATTAAATTAGGAGAGGCTTATTGTATACAGAACCAACAGTTCTGTATACATAACCGGAAGTTAACATATGTTGCTAAAAGTAAAGACTTCCTTGTTTTATTAAAAGACCAATTATCTCTGGAGAAGTTCTGCTGGAACAATTAGTTCACCTATTAGGTTGTTACAGATCACAGAGGTTTAAGTGTGTTTACTGCAAGATGTGGGCAGGTAATTATATACTGCAGCCACTTAATGCTGCTCCACAATTATTTTCTCTACCTGTATGTTAAAGTTTAAGCTATCCTCGTGGATACATGTTTCTTGGTAAGTATTGTCTCTGTGTAGTCTTTGGAATGCATACTTATTCTGCTAAATTACTGTTGAGTAGTCCAAAATTTCAAGGATGATTTAGTGCCATTTTATTGGCATAATTTTTTCCTCATTTATAACATCAAGCAAATACAAGAAAATAGCTAAGCAGATATGCAGCTTTAGGTTTCAGAAATATCCTGAATACAACAGAGAAAACAGAAATCTGATTTTTGTTTTTCCTGAACGGTAAAATGGTCAAAGGGTATCAAAAAGACTATTATATAATAAAATGCAGTTATGCTGTCATAAATGGTTGACATATTTTTAATAACAGGGAGCTCCTTCATAGTTTTATTTATAAATGTTCTGGCTGTTAAATGTTAACTGAGGAGATTAAATATGTTTGGGAAGGCATAGTGAGTGCTACCAAGTCAGCAGATCTGATTCCCTCTCTTATGGTTTGAGTTAAGCCAGTTGTTTTTAAAGGTGAGGTTATTAATAAAAGCTCTTAAAGGGCTAGGATATGGTCTCACCTCCAGTTTTCAATCAAATACTGATATCATGCTATGCTGACATTTATTAATTAATTAATTTCCTAGTAATCAATAAGAAAAATACTAAACAGGAGCTACCATAATTGGACATTTTAAAATCAGGAGGTCTAATACAATCATGTTGGTTTTGGGGTTTTTTTAACTGGTCAGAAGCCCTCTGTAGTGTTAATGTTTTCTTCACCAAATTTTTGAATAAGGCAGAAATACCAAAGGACATGAAGGAAACTTAAGGATGAGAAGAAAAAAAAGCAATTAACTGAGATGTTATATAGAATAATCTGTAGGTCTGTCAAACAGACATTGGTATGGGAGAGAATGATAAAAAAAAGAGATTACAGGGTGAAGAAGGTAACAGCAGCTGATGCTGATTATGGAAAACGTTTAGGAACTAAACTTGATCATTTTTTAAAATACATTCATACATTAGTTTGCAAGAGGTGATAATGTTGATGCACATGGCTTATACCTCTGTAGGGTGTTGTCTTATCTTTACATGGCGTCCTGGTTACTGAATTATAATAAACTCAAAACAGGAAGCAGTTGACTGAACAGGTTCTGGAAACATGCAAATTAACTTACATAGCATTATGAGCCTGCTTGGTGTTTAATATACCTGAGGAGGGCACTGATACACTTGTATTGCTTTTTATTACACTCAATTTCATGTACTCTTGTAGCTCCATTTACCTGTCCCAGGTTTTTTTGAGTGTAGCAATGGTTTTCATTTAACACCCAGCACAATAATGGCAAGGTAATGAAGATTTTTAAATTCCCTCTGAAAAACCAGAGTCCAAGGCCTTGTTTTCTGTAGCAAAGCTTTTATTAGCACTTGACAATGAGATTATGCAATTCTCCAGCTCTGGATGGAATAGCTGGTGCTGGCATGCGAGAGCAGGAGACTGCCAAAAGCCTCTGCATGCTTTGACACCTATAAAGTGGCTGTCAGTTTACTAAGGTGCCTAATCTGACAGTCGCTAAAAATAGTTCAGGTGGCTGCTTTCTACTGATGAAGAAATCACGTCCCTCTGCATATTTATGTTAGGAGGGAAGGGAACAACCAGTGAATTGCAGTTTATTTGCTTCCAAGTTTACAGTTAAGAGTATTTCAGACAGCATTTCTGTTTATGACACAAATAGTTTCTTGAAAAATACTGAAACTTCTCAAGGAAAGGAAAACTATACAGTATGGCACCTGAAAATAATGAACATTTTTTTGCTTGTAAAATGGCATTTATGGCATTACTTTAAAATCACTTCAGTTTAAGCGTGCAGTTGTTTCTGTCTTGATAGTAACTAATAAACTTTTTTTACAGGCAGCAATCAGCTGAAGACCTTGCAAGAGTACCTGCTAATTCTACCAGCAATATCTTGAATAGGCTATTGCTCAGCTATGATCCCAGGATAAGGCCTAATTTCAAAGGTTTGTTGGATATTTCAGCTTTTTTATTTAATCTTTGGATTTTAACTTTTTTCACACAGAGAAAAATTATGTAGAGATAATACTCACAGGCTAAATTTCTGTTGTTATTTTTTTTATTTTTAAATGGAAGCTTCCCTAGATAGTGTGAAATTGCAGAAGATATTTATCCTTTTGACCTGAAAGATAATATGTTAGGATTTCATTATAATAATGAAATGTGATGCAAGGTATGTGATGATTTATTACTATTGGACTTATTTTATAAAAGTTTTTTTAAATGTAGAAATATAATTTATAGAATAAGTTTTTAAGATATCTTCTTATCCCTACATTTTAGTTAGACTCTGCTTTACAGTATTTAAAACCACGAGATTCCTCTGTAGACATCCTTTAAGATGACTATAAAAAGTTGGGGTCAGCAGTATCACTATTACCAAACTATACGATTATTAAATCCTTTAAAGATATTTTAGTTGTAAAGCTTACACACTTTGGGAATTCATATAGGTAATGTATTGAAACACATTTTCTGCCATTAAAACATCTCCCTGGTAGTCAGATGTTGTAGGACTCTTCTGTGTAGGCAAGTGTGAATCCTTACATGTGCAAAAAATGTGTTAGAATACCTATTGCCTGCAAAGCCTCTAAAAATTCACACAAGTTAGGCTGTAAATTAGACTTTCCAGGAATTAGATTATTTGCTTTCTGAAAAAAGATGTAGACAATTTTATTACATATAGGCAATGCAGTTTACATAAAACAGCTCCTTCATTTTAAAACTCTCCATGTAATTATATGAGCATTAAGAGATATTTTAACATGAATATCACTAGTATGAAAAATTTGGAAATCTTAAATGTTTATTGTGCTTTTAACAAGGCTATTTTCAGTTCTATTTAACAGTTTTATAGACATATTAAACTCAGTTCTCAGCAAATGTACTGCTTCTTTCTTACTCTCTGTAGAATCATATTTATATCTTTCCAGCACTGAGTCTTGTCTCAAAGAATAAATGTCCAGCCTCTTCTCTACCTGTTCTTCAGCATAATCAGCTTGTAATAACAAAGCATGTTGCAGATTTCTTTATATTTTTGATAACCCTTCTGGCAGTCTGGTAAGAATCAAGATGGAAGGGAAAAGGAGGACATGTAATATTAACTCAGAGGGAGATGGAAGAAAAGGAACATCTTCTGACAAGTGGTTTGCCCATGTTAAAATGTTCCTCACACATGAGTGATTTTCTTGGATGGCACTTCCTATTGAAATCTGGAAGAGAGAGTACACTCTTGACTGCTAGTGTTGTGATGGGTGCTCTGTCACATGCATCAGGCATTAAAAGAAGTATTGTGCTTATTGCATAACCAAAAGCATCACATTTAAGTAGTCTGATTAAAAAACCAAACCAAACAAATTGTGAAATTTGTTTGATGATAAAAGTGAAATTTTATTGTCATAAATTTCTGATGATCAAGAGAATGAGTTTGAATTTATGTATTAAATGTACATAAAAATATTTTATGCAGGCAAATGTGCTATTGGAAGAGGCATTATTACTTTGTACTGTATTTGCTTAGTCTGTCAAAACACTATTCATATATTCTTATATCTCTTGTTGCTGAAAGTAGGAAGAAACCCAATGAGTATTTGTAACAGTGTAAATCAGATCAGAGATCAGATACCTGCATCTAGTGGACATCCTGACACTCATGCCATAGAGATACTAAATAAAAGCAGTGGGACATAACTAGTTCTCTCAGCTATCAGGCCACTTCTTCTTGCTCTGTGATAACTCTCTGTTAACACCAGATTAAATGACTGCCAATCAATTCCCACAGGGTGACAGAGGGCAGATGTAGCAGCTATCACACCATCCCTCTTCAACTACAGGAATCCTGGCTATGGAAAAGAGAAATAAAATCCAGGCCCTCTTAATGTCTTCATAGCTGCTGACTTCTAGAAATTTTTCTTGGCTAATTGGTAACCATTGTATAATTGAACAGTTTTCCAACTCTTTCATACCAAGGCTAGATAGCTGTGAAAGATGCATGCAATAATTTTTTATCTGCCTGTGTTCATACTTTACAGGTAAAGCCTTATGTGCTTTACTTGCAGAAAGAGGTATCCCCTTAAAGCTTAAAGAAATACCTCATCATAAATCATAAACAGGTAATTTGGGGTGATAGATTGTCATTATGACCTTGACAGTTAAAAGGCTCTGCTGCTAGAAATGTGAATTGCCTCTATCCGTTACACTGTGTGCAAAAATACATAATACTGGATTATTCATTCTGAGATAACAGAAAATAATGGAATTCAAAAACTATTAATTTTGATATATGATCAGTGGAATTCTGTAAGATTAGCTCTCTGGACTAAGGATTTTTATTTTTCCCTTTTTCTTATCACTAGGTTAAAAAGAGGTTTAGTGATTCCAATTGACTTTTAAAACTGTATATATACTAACTTAAAAAGACAAAGTTACATTGTGAGACTTGAGATAGCAGTGTAAAGGAGCTTTAAATGAAGGGCAATGTACATTTACTGGATTGTGTAGCTCACTAGAATTTTTTTTTTAAAGGAATTCCAGTCGATGTTGCAGTTAACATCTTCATTAACAGCTTTGGCTCAATTCAAGAGACAACTATGGTAAGAGTGAAATTAAATTCATGTAGTACACATGGAGATTTTCTTATTAAATTAATCTTCAGACTGAGGATTATGACTATAAAATAGAAATAATTATTGTGGTTGCAGACACTGAGAATTTATTTAATGGGGTTAGTGATTGACTGACTGTGATTTATGCCATAGACCTAAACCTATTAATGTATTTCACTCTATATATGTCCACAGATTATTGTAGCTTTAGAATCTGATTTACATGAAAGGAAATCCATGGTTTCTAAGATGTAAGAGATAGACTAATTTCCATAAGTTATTTCGTTCATTGGAAGAACTCATTTGGTAGTACGAGTTAAAGATCTTCTGAGAGTTATTACATAGGTTGCTTGGTGTGTTATTAAAAAAACCCCAAACTACTAAGACTGTATATGACAGAGAAAAAGAACAGACATGCAAAAGGATGAAACATATGGGTTATTTTTCTTATGTGGATCTGAAGATGGAAATAAATTGTGGAGGAATAGAAGGAGCATTATTAAAGGAATAGATTATCAATGACCATAGTCTTACTTTTGTTTATTTACTGCATGAGAAAGATAAACTGGAGAGTGAAGGTTATAAAAATATGTTTCTAGTTCAGTCAGAAAATTTCAACGTGTCAATAACAGGATGAAATAATCCTCATTGCAATTTCGACTTCTTTTGTTTCTTTGGGAAATAAAATAATTTCAAAATATGAGTTGCTTCAGCAAAGACCTTTCTGGTATTTTTGGACTTGCAGGTCTTTTTTTGGCATGGTGTTTCCAATAAATACTATCAAAAATATTGCCAAAAATGCATTTAGTTATTGAAGATGTTCTGACCTGATCAGGTTTTCCTTTTGTGTAAAAAAGAGGAGAATGCACCATGTCATGCCAGTTCATGGAAAGCCACAGCCAAGACATGCACTCCCACACTCCATGAGTGGGAGTTCTGAGGCATTCCCTAATCACTTTAGTGACCTGCTGCATCTAAAGCATTGAGGCAGCTCCCAAAATCAAGTTGCTTTTTTTAATGCTGTGACTAAGGCACCATGAACCATTCTGACTCATAATGGCAGAGAAGCAATAAACCACCATACCACTAATAAGAAATAAAACATACCTTTTTGTTGTTGGAAGTAAGTGCCCACTTAAAATTCAGAACCTGCTTACATGTTACCCTAATGAAATTTCAATAGGAATGCAGAGCCACTCCAAGTTGAACATAAATGGTGGCTGGAATGGTTTTCAATAGCTTGGCCAGAAATTTCTGTTTCCTTAGCTACTAGCGATTTATATTTGATTGCAAATGATAGCAAGACAATCAATGGCATTAGTGGGAACTGATATTAAAACCAAAAAAAAAGTAAGTTTGCCCAAAAGGCCACGAGATTTATTTCTGAAAACAAAAAGAGGACTCAAATGTAAAGCGGGGCAGGGAGGAAGAGCAAGAAGGTAGAACTGAGATAAGTTCTTAAGATGTCAAATATATTAGACCAAACTGTCCTTTCAAGTTTCTGAAATAATTGCATGCTTTAAAAACTGACTTTAAAGAGACTTTTTTACAATTCACCCAGATTCAGATAGTAATAAAACATGAATGTGAGAGATTTGCTTCTCCCCAGCCCCTCCAGAAAAAAGAAAATGCTCTCTACAGCCTCTATGTATGCCTATCTGTCCCTTCCTGATATAGTTACTTACAAATTTACTAGGATGTATCATACTATTGTGTGATAAGTCATGCTCTCCTCCATAATTCAGAACTTCAGCCACCATCCTTAATTTATTTTATGCCTTTATGTAGATTTCTATGTCTAGCGGATCACCGTGATAGCATGTTTATGTGAAATCTGGATTTCTTCTTGATTGCCTTAACGTAGCACTGACAAAATTAAAAGTCAATATGTTCTTCCATGTATTACTAGAAAACTCTTCCTGCTGCAGTGGTCACTGGATATTCAGGAATCACTGCTCTCTTGGAGATAAGTTTGTACTTTTCTTCAAATGGTCTGGGTAATATACCAGACAGTAGAACAGGAAAAGATTTGTACTTCCAGAATCACAGGAAAAATATTTCCTGGAGGTGAGGCACCAAGTCTGTGGAGAATCCGAGGGGTCTCTGGTGTTCAGAAAAGGAGACATTTGCAGAAGTCTGCAAATGCAGACCAGCACTGCTGAAAAGGTTCCTTGGTGTTGGAGAAGAGAGTGTCTGGCTACATCTCTACTCTCTCTGGCATCGATGAGAATCATGAAGAGTATTGATTTATTGACTGTCTCTAAAATTACCAGAAGCTGCTAAACTCGTTGGAGTGTTATCAAAATTTGTGAAATAATATATTTCAAAGTATTTCAGTAAAGGAATTATTGTGATGATGCTTTGTTCTCTACAGCCACTTCTGGCTGTAGTAATTGAACACATAAATTTTTGCAAAATCTATGTGGGGGTAAAGCCATGCTAAAGCAATGATTCCTTCTTATGTGTGATGGAAGTGTGGGGAAAAATAACAATGGGTACCAGATGACTGGAAGAGAGGTCATGGTAGAAGGCTCAACAAACAAATGTGTAGAGTGCGAGTGAGAAAAGGCCTTGCATGCTGTCCTTCTGGTCCTGTGATAATTATATTCTTAGCTATGCAGTTGGTTCATCCTCAACAAAGAGTTGAGATTAGCTCCTTCTGAGGTAGAATCCACTTAGATTTAAGAAAGGAGGGACTTTCTTTGTAGAAAAGCATCAACATGTTTGAAGTTACTTTGTTTTAAAGAAAGTGAGTACCCTTTTTGTGGGTCCATGCCCAGAACCCTGTATCACTTTAATCAAGCCCTTGTGAAGTATCTGAGGGGCAAATGTTTACTCTGTGTCTAGAAAGGATAGTGTTCATGTTGTGTTTAATATTGAAGAGAATTGCAGTGCCTCCACACACTTACCAGGCAAGTCTTCTGGAAAAAACTAAGCAAAAGAACTAGTGAACTACAGAGAGAATCAGAATTTGTACAGATAAAAAGGAGAAGACCTTATGCTAGAGCTGCTACCTTCTGGTAAGCTCCCTTTACGTTGAATCCTGTAACTTGTCTCCTTCTATATTGTTAGACCACTTGTCAAGGATCCCACCATTAACTCTGTTTATGAGTTTGGTCCTGTTTTTTTCAGACTGCAGAATTGTGGTATAATATGGTGATTATGCCACATTTAGAAACTGTTTTTAACTGGATGATCAATTAAGGACTCTTAGGGATAGAGAGTTTCTGGTATAAATACCCATAGGACTATAATATTTTTTTTCTGTGATGATGTTCTGACTTTCTGTCTACAGAATCTATGTTCAAGGTTTTTGTTTGCAGTGTGACCTTTCTTCACTGACTGAAATGACAAAACACTACTTCTTCCTTCTTTAGAATCTTTCAGGTCTTTTTAATATTCGTGACTACAAAAAACATTCAGTTTCCTTATTTTAATCTTAAAAATGACATTTTCTGTTTCATTAAAAGGAAGCACTATTATGTTGCCTTTCTTTGTATTAGTGCAGTTTATGTAGTAAGTCTTTCATGATCTATGTGCTCTATTTTGCAGAAAGATGTGTAGGCTATGCTTGTTTTCTGGCCTGAGGTGGTTTTCTGGCCACATGCCCACTATTTAGTAGACTTCTGAAATATTTCCTAGAATGCCTTCAAAATTCCCTGAAAACAATTTGCCTTCTGTTGGAGTTGCATGGGAAAACAAAGCCCTGCAGAATACCTCTGTGTTTCTTTCTACTTGACAGGTCCTCCTAGTTCTGATGCTGTTGAATATCTCTTCCATCCTCTTCCCCTAGTTTCAGGCTTCTTAGCTGCTCTTTGACTCTCCTTTACATAAAATGTCAATCACTCTGCAAATTTAAAAAAAAATTGTTAAAGGTACACCAGGAAGACCATGTTCTCCATGCAGGCTGCTTCTTCAGCCCCTGTTCAACTTAATTGTAAGACATTTACTGAGTCTTAAAATTCATCGTGCAAATTTGAGAGGGCTGGTTACAGACTTCTTTCAAGATAAATTTTTATCGTGCAAATTTTAGAGGGCTGGTTACAGACTTCGTTCAAGATAAATTTTTACCAAGTCATAGCCTTTACTTCTGCCAGATGCTGTAAAGGTGCACGTTCTTCTAAGAAGCAGCCTTGTTGCACATTGTTGTTTGGCTAGCCAGTTTTGTATTGTGACATCTCTGCTTACTTCTACATTTTCTATATTGCCTCAAGTATGTGGTGACATTCCTCTCTAAGTATCCTTGTCAACATCTCTACTTTGGGACTGAACCTCCCCATTTTAGATTAAAGGGAATTTTCTTTCTCTTAGTTAAATGGGTACAGACTCAGGATCTTAAGATTTTGAAACATCTGATTGATTGGTGTTGATGTTCATTTGTAATAGAGCAAGGAAGGAAATAAAATGGTATCCACTTGATCTTTCTTCCAGTTCTTATTTTGCCAGTGCATTCTGCTTTTCAGTGATGTAAGCATCTTCTTCTACTGAATGGGTAAGCTGAAGGCAAGTGCTGGACAGTGGTTATCATTTGCCTATGGCTTTGAAAAGGCATCTTATTTTGTTTAAAATTAGGGTAATGCACTTTCTTATGGGGAAATTGAATTCAGTGTAACCAGTAGTGTAATGCTTGTGAGCATGAATCGTATGCAATATTTATCTCATATGGTTTAGAGTAATTTTTTATTCACTGAGAGAACAAGTGCATATGAAATGGGTACTTCAGCAAGAAGCAAGTAAAGGAAATTTTCAATTACATACATATAATTGAAAAGATACTTTCTGAGCTAATGACGTGAATTCCCCCCAATTATAAAGCTTCTCTATGAGAGCCTTCCAGTACAAATTCACTTCATATTAGCCATTATTTTTTTGCTTCTTCTTTACTTTGGCAAGACAACATAGGCCTTTGTATAAATAACGGTCAGACTATGTATATTTTTTTCCCAAACCAACTACCAAGTTACAAGTACTTAGTTTTGCTGCTTTGCTTTTCCTTACAATGCAGTAAGGAAAAATATTATACAGTACAGTGTAATAAAGAAATACTTGGGCTAATTTGACTGATGGACTTGACATGGGAAAGTGGGTGCTTTATTTAAATAGGCAGAGCAAAACAACAGAATAAATTATTCTGCATGAGGTATTAGCCAAGTGGACTCCTTCTGGTTGAAGTTAGCATGACTGTCTCAAGATGGCACCTGCTTTGGACTGTAAATGTAGTAAGTACAACAGAAGGTAATTCAATTGTATCAAAAAAAATGTGTAAGAGCCATTGACATGTAGAATAAAAATCTTTATAAAATTAGTTTGTATGAAGAATCCATTGACAAACCAAAAATATGTCAACAACCTTCACTCACACATTTCTAGCATTTTTCTATAATTGTAGAGCAGTAGAAGTGTTTTCATTGCACTGAAAGACACAGCCGTTATCTCAGGAGGCTTTGTACCTAACAGACAATTATGAAAAAACAAAGCACACTATAGAAGGCAACTAGGAAGACTGGAGATAGAAATAATCTTACATACAGAGTTTTCATTCATTTGAATGGGTTTGTTTAACTTTATTTCAACAACAACTTTATTCTTTCTCTGTATGTGATCTGCCTAGTTTACATATACATCAAAAAGAGGCGCTGACTTAAATGTAAATGTAAAAAGCAAAAAGACTTAAGAGATAAGACTGAAAAATCATAGCTGACATTCTAGGTCACATTCTTCCTTCAGATGCTCACAGCTTTCACTAAGGACAGAATATGTGCAAGGTATCATTTTGCCCTGAGACACATGCTACTCCAATTCCCAAAAGCAAAATTAGGTTCTCATTGAGCATGGCTCTACTACTGTCCATCCTTCAGCCAGAGTCCTACCGATTTCAGAAGGAGATTTTCTCTGTAAAGCCTTGGTTTTTTCTCTTTGAGACTGATTCTGTTTCTCCTTTCATATCTGCTACCTCAGTACTTACGTTGCAAGCTGGCATCAGTTTTCCTGTTACCAAGATAGTCCCAGATCACTGATAGAAGGTCTGAGGCTGTTTTCTGGGTGTGTAGTATAAAATCTATTTCCTATCTGGTCTGCTTCCTGCTTTTATAGTGTGATATTTTGCCATCAGTGTGCCAGTTAACCAAGTGGAGAGCAAACTGGAACTGGCACTCACAGGATATCCTGACAGAAGCGATATCATGCCTGCTGCCTGCAGCCATTTAGTGTAGTCAAACCATGGCCTTTCTCTGCCCTGCTGCATGCTTTTCTCTTTACCTGAGTAACAGGAGGCTGTTACTGAGGGGATGCAAAAATGACTCTAAAGTGACAATTTGATCCTTTGTTTAAGGAAAGTTGCTATATTCAAAACCATGAGTGAGATGTAATATGTTTGTAGTAAAGTCTGTTAAGCAACACTTTGTAATATAATTTGAATAGTGATTACTGTCTTTGTGATAGAAAAATCAGGGCATAATTTTTTTCTCTTCTGAGTCTGATTGCTTTTATTTCTCTATGGGGTTTTTGCTAGACTTTTACTAGTCTAATATTTTTTTCTTCTTCCCATCAGGATTATAGAGTCAACATCTTTCTAAGACAGAAATGGAATGACCCCAGACTCAAACTGCCCAATGACTGGAGAGGTTCAGATACACTAACAGTGGACCCAACTATGTTTAAGTGTCTTTGGAAGCCAGACTTATTCTTTGCAAATGAAAAAAATGCTAACTTCCATGATGTCACACAAGAAAATATCCTCCTTTTTATATTTCGGGATGGAGATGTCCTAGTCAGCATGAGGTATTTTATTTATATGTTTCCACTATTTTTTTTAAGTGATTTGATATGAAATATATATTCTGTATTAGTCTTACTAATGTAATACAATTTATTACTAATATTTAAATTTAGAAGACAGTTTCTAAGCAATGCTACGATAAATTAAATATGTGTAAAGAAATCAAATGAAGGTGTTTTAAAGCATGTCAGTTGATAGCACTGCAGGTATGAGAAATTTGAGGTGTATATACATGTTAAATTAACACACTGAAATAATTAAATGTAAACCCTTTTGATAATTTATTAGGTTCCTAGAAGCATAATGGAGTGGATTATATAATATTTTTACATATATATATATTAAAAATTACATATGTAATCTATCTATATATAATATATATAATAGATATAATAGATATAATATAGATATAGATATATCTGAAATACATCCTTCAGTAAAACAATATATGTTGCACACTACTTGAATTTTTGCAGCAACTGAAATAAACAATGATTGCTTGCTAAAGAAGAAGAGAAAGGCAGAAATTACAAAATTTGTAAATATGTATGCTTTCTAAAAGTACTGAGAAAAAGATCTGATTAAGTTCTATACCTTACTGGATATAATTTTTCTCAGAAGCCTCCAAATTGCTGTTCAATTTAATTGCAATTAACATATCTTTATTTGGTGGTCTGGCTTGGTTTACAAGTCAAAGGTATACATGATGCCACAAAAAGAGTCATCCACTGAAAACAGCAAATTAGTTGATTAAAAAGGAGGTCATAGTGAATGACAGATCTGGAGAGTTTATAGTTTATCATTTGTAGAGATCAGGCTAAATTTCCTAACAGAAATGAATTTTCTTCTGGTGTGAGCTGTAATGCATTGCCCTGATAGACGTAAGAATGATTATCTGAATATGCTGCAACATTACTTTTACATTTACTTGAGAAGCTAGATTCACATGAGCCTAGAAGAAGAAGAGGAAACAATATGAAAGCGTTTGGGGTCTTTTTTTTCTGATTTCAAAACAGGATGGGAAAAATAAGTCTCAAGACTATTGCTGGCAGTGATCAGAAAAGAAAATACATTGGGCAGAGTATTTCATTTGACTTGCTCTGAAGGTCTTGGTTTTGATTTCAGCTGCTTCTGTAGTTTTGAAGTGTGTAGAAATTAATATTTCAAAGTAATATTTCAAACTTCCAACTATGAAATAAGTTTCCCATTTGAAAGAGCGAATGTTAAATGAAGCATTTAAATGTTTTTCAAATATTTTTTCTGGGTTGCAGGTATTTATAAATGACCTCAATAGATATGGTTAATGATTAGCGCGAATATTGAGTGAATACTAATGGAAGTGTTTCTGATGGAAAAATTATTCTCTGGAAACTTGCAAATAGGAAAACCAGGTTTAATGAAGTTAGAAATTATTGTCATCCTCTAAAAAAATCTGTTTATTTTAATAGCACACTCTGTTCTTACGTGATATGTATGCAGGTAAGATGAATTTTTTTAAGGACTGTTGTTTGGAGACATTTTTAAAATACGTAATTTCTTTGTCTTGTGTTTCTATTTACAGAGATGTTATCACGTATAAATGAAAGACTCTCCAGTTATCAAAATACTTGCATGGCAAAATGTGTTTGAGAGAAAGCTCTTGCACAAATAGTTAAGAATTAGGAAACTGAATGCAGGAATAAACAGCTACTGCTCACATCAGGGGAAGTAAACAGTAGACTCCCACAAAAGAAAAGTCTATTCTGTGTTCTGTGCTTTTCAGCATAAATAATCTGAAAAACTCTGAATTTGCCAAGTGCATTTGATGATAGCAAAATATGAAGAATGGTAAAGATAAGAGACAACAGTGAGAACCACAAGTCAATCTAAGGCTTAGGCAACAAAGAATGGGATGAAATTCAATGTAAGCAACTGGAAATTATGCATGAGGGAAAAAACTTCACATAAAACCAGATTGATCTAGAGTTGGTTATTAGCAGCCAAAAAAATTAGCTTTGAGTAGTAATGGATAGTTCTCTGAAAATGTTACCTAATAGCTCAGTACTATTTGAGAAGGTGAATTGAATTCTTGAAAGTATTGGGGATTAAAGTTATGCCACTGTATAAAAGTATGCTATACTTACATCTTGAATGCTATTCTGGTCTTCCAGTTGTAGGAAGGGAGGCAGGGATAGTCAAAGGTATAGAGCAGCTGAGAAAGGCTGAACTTTTCAGACTAGAAAAAGCAAAATAATTGAGGTGGTGCCATAGAGGTCTCTAAATTACAAATGGCACAGAGACAATGGATGGACATTGATTTTTTGCCTTCTTTTACATTGAAAGAACTATGAGACAGATAGAAGTGTGATTAGAGTGTGTGCACTTAGCTATGGCGTTCTTTTCTGCAAGATGCTGTGGATGTTTATGTGGTGTCCGGGTTTAATCCCAGCTGGCAACTAAATATCATTCACTCACTTCCTCTTGACCTCAATGGGATGGGGAGGAGAGACAGGGAAATAAAGCCCAAAGAAGTTGTGGGTCAAGTACCAATAAAAAATTGCAGCAAATTAAAACAAAATATAAGTGTTAATGCTGATACTAATTGCAATAAAAGGCACAGGTGGAGAGAGACATAAAACCAAGAGAAACAAGTGATGCAAAATAGAATTGCTCACTACCTGCTGACAGATGCCCATCCCTTCTCTGCTGCCTCTCATCTCCTTGTGTACCTGCTCACTGTCAGAGTACGGGAAACTGAAAAGTCCTTGATTTAGGGTAAGCACTACTCAGCAACAACCAGAAACATCAGTGTGTTATCCATGTTATCCTCATACTGAATCCAGAACACAGCACTGTGCCAGATACTAGGAAAAAAATTAATTGTCCCGGATGAAACCAGGATATCTGGATTCCAGAAAGCAGCTGAAAGTAAAACAACTTCATGGAGACAATCTGTTGATGTCCCTTAAATACTGAAGAATCCCTTCTGGCTTAGGAAGCCCTTGAGGTGCAACTTTTGGATGCTGCTGGATATCTGGAAAAATAACACTTCCAGATTGCTGTAGTGTCATATTCTTCTTTAGAAGTCTGTCATTGGCCGATGCTGGAGACAGGACTCTGTTCTGTATGGACATTTGGTTTGGTTATTCTGTGACCTATATGTATTTTGTCTTGTATTAGCAGTTCTCTAATTTGTGAGCTTCTATGTGTTTAAAACCCTCTATAAAATTTTATTGTCTTATTTTATGCTAGAGAGATCTCCATTGCAAACTGCTAATTATAACTTCTAAACTTTGTTTCTGCTCTTTTAGAGGATGAAAATCAGAAACCTGTGATTTTTTCTTTCTCGTGGCCATCTATTGCTTACCTGACAGCTCACACTGTTTTTAAATACCATTTCTGTATTTTCAGATTGTCTATTACTCTGTCATGCCCTTTGGACTTGACCTTGTTTCCTATGGATACACAGCGCTGCAAGATGCAATTGGAAAGCTGTATGTAAATCACTCTGTCCATAAAAACAGTTCTCTTCTTGGCATGCATGAGAATCAAAAAAAATTATTAACTTTGTTTCCTTCATCTCAACGTTTTTAATGAATCATGACATTGATACTCACTGGTTCCTACCAATGTACATTTCCCTATCAAAGATATTTCTTACCGTTATGACACTATGCACTCTTTATTTTAGCTTTTGCTATCAACCAGAATGGTAACTGAGGCCTTTTATAAAAGCATTTACAATAAGCTGAGATAAATAGAAATATATAATTTGGAAAGAAGAATGGTTTTGCCAGGTAGTTTTAACTTCCACAACGTGTGCTGCATTGTGGATTGTTGGAGTCCAATTTATTCCCTTGCATTGATGATGCATTGGTATTGTTTGGAATTCCTTTGATACAGTACCAGAGGAAAAGTATTTGATGCCAAAGCAGTGAGATCACCTCTTGGAAGTGGTTTCATGATGTGTTGTGGATGTAGTCAGGCATCTATTCCTGGTTTCCAGGTGATTTAATCTTACAACAGGACAGACACGTCACATCTCTGAAGGGCTTTATGCCATGCTGGAAGTTGCAGACAAAATGTTTCTGAAATCCATTTTCCTTCCCGTGCCCCAAGTATGCAGGTGTCTACTCAGCTACAGCTTTTTCCAACACTTTACTTGAATATTGTGAGTCTAACTTGGTGATCCCTGTTTTCCTGAATAAGGATGAGCATGAAGCAGAGAGAAGTCTGCTCCTGCTGTAACATAAAATTGTTCGGTTCTTACTCCAGCAGGTCAGGTTGGAAAGGTGAGGTTAGGGAAAGGAAGTCACAAGTGAAGAAAAAGTAAGGTTAACCAAAGCTAGGCAGGGTATCACAATGGGGACAAGGTTAATAATAATAAAAATTATTATTATTAATAATATTACTATTATTATTACTATTATTATTATTATTGTTATGTTTTACAATTTTGGTTTTGACAGTCAGCATTTATATTTAGAATTTTTGTATGTCCATAGTAATTTTGTTCATCCCTTCTATGTATGTACATTAGCTGAAGTAATCTCTTATGGAAAACCCAAATCAGTTTGGAGTCAAACTGGAATTAGTTAGTGATACTAATGGAAGTTCACTCAAGATTTCTCAGTCCAGAAAGTCCACTTCCTTTACAAGTGTTGAAAGGTATAATCATGCAATGATAAATTACTTAAAAAAAAAAAAAGCTAAGATGATATATTCAAATTCAGTGAATTTGCTTCATTGAAAAGGCTGTGCACTAAACTTTCTTCTACCTTTTAATTCAGTTATCAAAAGTAAGAAAGGTACCCAAGACTTCCTATCTGTCCTTCCAGTTCTTTCCTGTTAGCCATTGGCAGTTTTATTCTTAGGTTATTTTCAAATGAATATTTTGTTTTTACTTGCTAAACTTCAAAATAAAAAAAGGCCGTCAGTTGTTACTAAGATGTTCTTGTATCCACAGTTATCATATCTCCAGTTCTGCATATTCCTATAGACAAAATTTTCACTCTCCAGTAATTGTTATCATAAAGAATCTTGGCAGTTTTGTGATATGCCGTGTGTTAGAATGGACATTAATACAATTTTTTTGTATAGTATATTATAGAGCTTTGAAACATTGTGATTTTTATTAAATTATTGTGAATCTTAGAGACATCATTTATGAGCAGTTTACTTTCTAATCACAGCTGTTTTTCAAAAATTAAAAAGAATAATCTAATGCCCCTAGCAAAAAAATGGCTCTTTAAACATTTTTCTCTAGCTTTGAACTGAAAAATTATGCATTCCAACTCCATCTTTTTTACATTTCCTCCTCTCTGTTCCCATCTAACACTCATTATCTCTGAATTAAGTTAATCTTTAATGAACAGAAGGTAGCAAAAAAATGGCATGTAAAATCATGATTCTGATTATGCATATTTAATCAATATTGCTTTATTCTTGAATATTGTGAGTCTAACTTGCACTGCCTCTCACTTGGTGGTGGTGCATATATTATGATTTGGGCACTCAGAGGTTTGCTGAGGTCTGTCTGTACTGAGTAGGTCATGAAGGCGCTGAGCTAATTTCCATAGGACTGCACATCTGCTGTGATTCCTGGTCAAGTATTTCCTTAATGGCAATGCTTTCATGAATCAGGGCTTGTAGTCCTGCGGTTGTTTTACACAAACACCAAGATTCATCATGGTAATTGAGTCGTTAAATTCTTTTGAAGTTTCTCAGACTCATACGTGCTGTTTAAATTTCAGCTTTTTCATATTTGCTGGAGTATGAAAGAATATGAAGGCTTGAAAGCTGTGGAACATACAGCTTTGCTTTCTTTGTTTGAAAAGTACACACTGTAACAAATACCTCTTAGTCATCCTAATATTGCTGCTAATGTAATGTTTCATCCACTAAGTCGTAATTTTGGCCTACATAAAAATGCAGATTAATTAATTTTTGTATTTATTTATTTGAATTGGAAATAAAAAGAAAAATACTGAAAGATATACAATACATATATGCTACGTTTTCTTGCAGAGTTTACTGTGATTGAGGTGGTTCTTTAAACAATTTTTTTTTTCTTGTAGTTGGTTACACAACTGATGACTTACGGTTTATCTGGCAGTCTGGAGATCCTGTACAGCTAGAGAAAATTGCTTTGCCTCAGTTTGATATTAAAAAGGAGGATATTGAATATGGTAACTGTACCAAGTATTACAAAGGCACAGGTATGTAATGTATTTCCTTGATAAAAATCTCTAAGCTTCCTTCAATTACTGTTTATAGTTAATGGATAATATTCCAGCCCATGTCTTACATTTCCTTAGATAAAATAAATTACTTTTAATTAATAAGTGGTTCATATAATGTTAAGTTTAATATGTGATTATTACAAACTAGTTCAAATATAGAAAGGGCCAAGCTGAAGAGACTAAATGTTTGTCTTGGCATTGCTTACATACATCGAGATCTTACCATCACCGTTTTATTTCTATGGTCCTAATACTTATTTATGCTTGTAAATGTCAAACTTTTCTGAACTAATGTTCATGCAGAATCATTCCAGTTGCAGCAAAGTGGGTAATTTTGATTTTCTGGTTAGACTTTTGTTCCATAAGTGGATAGTACTAGAGTGTAATTCCAAATGCTTCACCCTGCGGGTTCTTCCTTTTTCTAAATGTGTTGGAAATTTTGTCATTTTTGAAAGCTGCTTGCAATCCTCATAGCTCTATTTATTTATTCCCATGATTACTTTTTAAATGTGGGCGCAAATTTTTCCAATGGTTTCTGTACTCTAGCTTTTAATGATTTACCTTTTTCACATTGATTGTTTTCTGCCTACGATTATATCCAAACTGCTTGTGCTGTGACAACCACAAGACATTCTACAAGAACAGCTGTATTTTAGTCAGTGCTTTTACATCATGGGAATAGATCTTCTATTAAAACTCAATTGGGAAGTCTGTGGTGCTGCAGCTTCTGAGGACCCTCTGCAAGTTTCTTGTTGCCTATTAAGCTGAAGTGTTACTTGCAGTTGCTCCTGTGGTAGATTCCAAGCCTGGAAAGATCTCAAGGAACCTTAGCAGATCTCAGAGTTAAGAATTTAATTTTAAAAGATAATGAAAATAAAAGTGGGCTTTGGTTTTTAACTGCAGCATGAGTGAAATCTCAACCTAAGAACATAATTCAGTCTCTCAGGTGATTTATAACTTGTAAATAATAAGAAATCAGCTCTCTTCAGGAAAATTCTGATTTTTTGCAAGCAAATCCAGCAGCAGGAGGTGATTGCATTCAGAATATGGTAAAACTTTACTAAGCAGTGAGAAGAATGCTTTTTCTTAATTAAAAAATGAAATTATTGAAAAAAAATAGTCATAAAGTAATGAAAAACTAAAGGAATGGATCTTGCATTTCCCAAATGAAATTCGTACAAATGGGAAAATTGTAAAACTTATATACTATTGTGATTATTTTGAGGTGTCCCCTAAATCTGAAATTAAATGTCTAAAAAATCTTTAGATATTTCAGGTATTTTTAAGAACCTTGAAGAAAAATATTTAAGAACTATACACAAAAAAAATCAGTGGTGTTCTCTCAAGTTTCAGCAACTTGTGACCACAAATGATATAGTGCAAAATGTTTAGTAAAATATTCATGTTCTGTGAGTGTGCTTTGAACATTAAAGAACATGAGAGAACCATTTTGAAAAGTTTTCACAATTCTTTTATTGCAAATCCATTCTGTTAAGAACCTTCGTTAAATCTCATAGCCAAAACCAGAATTAATAATTCAGTAATATGTGTTGAATATTTAGTACTCTGAAGTATTTTTAAAGACTATTTTCAATGTTCCATTTTTAAAATTTACTTGAAAATTCTTATGCTGAAGGTATTTTTTAAGAACATATTTCACACACAGAGCTAAATAATTTTGTCAGATAATCAAGAGAAGTTTTTGCATCAAGGAGCAGATTTTAAAATTATGTCTTATGTAGGAGTTCCCTGACAATTGCAAAACGCCTTAATCTTTACTGCCTATTTCTGTCAACTGATATTTTATCATACCTACCTAAGCTGAAAGAGGGTCAGGAAATCTGGGCTGCTTTTGTAGCAATACATTGAATATTTATATTTGCAAATTTCCTGTTATTCATCAGTTTTATGACAGATCAAATAGGTCCTTTGAGTTGAATGGTGAGGGCAATAGATACTATACTCTGTCTGATGAAATATTATTCAAATGAAGGCATGCAAAATGCATTTCCTACATAACATAAACAAATAATGACTTTGAAGGTCATCCCTCATCTGAAAACAAAACCTAAAAGTGTCTGGAATCCATTCATAAATTATAGAGGGGAAAATTTTCAGCCAACTGATCACTGAAGATGATAGAATGAACTATAAAATACAGTATAGTGCCTTCTACACAAGGATGTTTGTCCTTAATGTTTTACAGTTCTGTTGTTATGGTGTTTGTATGCCCAAACAAGACTTTTATGATGACGTATCATTGTACAGCACTTAGCTGATACAAGATGAAAGGTAAAGAGAGAACCTTTTGACACATTCTATCTTCTAAACAAGTTTCTCACCAACTGGATCGATAAATACAGTCTGATTTGAATATTGAAGTTGTTGTAATATAACATAGGAATGCCTTTTTCTTGTGATAGAATAGTTTTTGAAGTTTTCAGGTTTTTTCCAACACTGTTGTGTTATAATTAATATGAAAATTCCAATTCTTCTAATTGAGTGAAAATATGGACAGAAATTATTTTCGGGTTATCAGACTTCTTGAAACATTTGTTATCTCCAGTAAAAGGTCTAGTAACTGCAACTTTGTTTTGTGTTGAATTTGTCTTAAACATCTTCTGAAGTTTGTGTGCTTTAGATCTTAATTTGAAAAGGCTTGATACATTGTTCCTTGTTTACAAAATCTGCAGCTTTTCAGAATGTTTTTTTTTTTAAATGTCTGTAGCAATTTTAGAAGTCATTTGTACTAGCTTTCAGTACTGGGGAAATCTCTGGTTAGAGTCACATTCAGAGCAACTCTTTCCATTCTCAACCTGCTAGACTAATATTTCTTAATTCATCTTGCACAAATTAATGCTAAGTAGGATTTTCAGATGAGCTTAAGCTAGTAGTACTGCTAGACTCCATTGGTTTTATCTGAACTGCATCTTGAAGCCAGCATCAAGCTGGGAGTCACTTCAGCCTCCTGCTGCACTGAAAAGTGGAAGGGTTCCTTACAGAGCACAGAGTACCACAACCTAACCACACTTGGTGCTTAAGTAGATCTATGTTATGAATTTTTTTTTCAAATGAAGTTCTTTACCTTTATAAAGAAAATCAAAGCATTGAACTTTTGCTCTTAAGCAGGAAAAGACCTGGAAGATACAGATCAGAGGTTCACCTGCAAAGCACATTAAACATTAATGCATTTATTTCTTTAAAGGTTATTACACTTGTGTAGAAGTAATCTTCACTTTAAGAAGACAAGTTGGATTTTACATGATGGGTGTTTATGCTCCTACGCTGCTAATTGTTGTTCTATCCTGGCTGTCATTTTGGATCAATCCTGATGCAAGTGCTGCAAGAGTCCCACTGGGTAACCTGCATTTTCAAGTACTGTCACAATCCACTGTAACACCATTGAGCCATTCTCAGTTGCTTTGGCTACATGACACTGAACCCTGAAAGCAACTTCACTTCCATTATCTGCTCATCATCTTCACTGAAATCTGCTCATTCAAAGTCCTATAAACTCCACCTTGGGATTAAGACTTCACTTGATAGTAGTTCCAGCATTTGAGTAACAAGCATCATGTCTCTGTTACTCTCAGCCTGGACAAATCTGATCCATCTATGCACGGGTGATGCTGCAAACACTGACAATATGCAGTTTACAAGAATTTCAGCATTTGAATAATCAGTAAGAAAGCAGAATGATAAGTGAGGCTCTAAATAGCTACCTATTGGAGAAGCCTTTCTGAAAGGTAATAGAAATGATATTTGGAAAAGAGCTAGCATTCCTGTTACCTGACTGGCTTTATTTCATTAGAGACTCACTCCATGACAGTACTTCAAGCTCATGCAGTCATGCTGCTCAGCACAAGACAGTAGGCAGGCCCTTCATTTATTATGAAATAGCAGGACACAAACTAAATAGTAACAATATTATCCCTCCAGCTGCCTGCCTTGCTCAGAAACCTCTTACCCACGCTGGAACCACCACACCCTTGCAGGATATAACTCTTGTGCAGACTTTCCCTTTCTTTTCCTTTTTTTTTTCTTTTTACCTTTAAATAGTTACTTGCAAAGGAATCTCAATCTGTATTAGTTTCATGTCAAGTAACCAATATAATCTTTTACCTTGAAAAGTTGCAAGGTTGCATTATATAATGCAAAACTTTAAGAGAACGTTTGAAAACAAAAAGGATGAGGAAAATGCAACATTAAAAAGAATGAAAGAGGAACCAAGCTGTACCACCATTTTTCCATGCTTCAAATATTGAACCAGACGGGCTTATTAAAGATATATTAGATTTATAAGACTCTTAGCATATATCTAAGTAACATGGGTGTCTCTGTAATTAAATATGCATGTTTATTTATTGTTTATTTATTTTGTTCATTTTAAGTGTTTATTGGCTTCTTTCATGTATTAGTATTCCTGAAATAATGAGTTTTCAAAGATACTAGCCATTGGCCTGGCTATGTGACTTTTCCTTAATCCCCAGAAAAACAAAAAACCTCTAAATCTGACACTCCCTTAGTTGAGTCAGTATTTAGTATGACAGTTACTGTCACTGGGGTAAGATATATCTTTCTACAGTTTCAGGAGAGCAACAAATTAATTCTTCTAGCAACATCCTTGAGATCCTTGACCTTGAATTATAACAAAATTAACATTTGTGTGTCAGGTAAATGATATCTAGCCCCAAGAAAGTGTACCAGTTACAAACCTTATTAGATAAGAAGCTGCTTCCGATCTTTCAGATTATATATATTTATGCTCCTCACTCACATTTGAGCCTTAAGCTTTGGATTGTGATAAGTAGGCACCTAGTGCACCTGCTGCCACAAGTGCAGCTTACAACTCTGGTACTATGGTCTCCGAGGCCATGCCAACATTCATCAGGCAGAAAATGATTGCTGAATAGAATATTTCTGTGCTTCTGTCTCACGTTATTGTTACTTTGAAAACCTGGAAGTCTCTTAGACTCTGAGAGTGAATCCATTGTAGGAATCCATACAAAAGGAAATTAGCTTCTGGTTACCACCATGACCTCAGTTGCTCTACTGAACATGTTAATAAAAGCTCCAAAAAAATCTTTTCAGCTAGAATTTATAAGTGAGTTCTGTAGAATTCAATTCAAGATTGTAAGGTGTAGTATTTTAAGGCCAAAAATGTGGATTTACAATGTTTTTGGCACCAGGCATGGTATTAATTATCACATTGTAAGATAGTAAACACTTTAAAGTTGGTAGGAAAAAAATACTATATCCAAGACGTTGAGCCAGTCCATGTTATTGGCTAATTTGGTTATTCAGGAGGAGGATAGAGGCTTCAGCAGTCAAGCATAGTCATGCATGGTACTTGGCACAGTACACTGTTAGACTGCGTGCTGGACAGGCAAATGTGTCCTAGGTATATTAAGAGGCAGCATGGCCTTTAGTTTACTTGTTAATGGAATTCCTTGTGATCCATAGTGTCCATCCCCAGTCTGCAGGTGTTGGTAAGTGATTTTTTTTCCAAAGAGAAGCATTCTATGTTCACGTTTTATCCTGGTGAAAATGTTTGTATGTGAATGCTACAGATGCAGTAGATGAAAAGTAATCCAGAGTGTACGCTGAGGATTCAGTTCAGTATTTGCTATATCATTCTGTTCTGAGATAACACATCTGGTCATTCTTTATTATCCCCATGGAAAAACACCATCCAGCTTTGCAGTGATACCTTGATACTACACATTTCTAAATCAAACATCATAAAATTTTGTGGTTTAAAATGACATGACTGTAAGCATTTCTTTATGCTTCAGTGTTCTAAGAGCTAGTGAATTGTCCATTTGAGTTTAATGCTAAATAAAGTATCATTTCAATCTTTTTGAAATCCAAATGGGAACAGTAGCTGAAGAATGTGTTGTTTGTGATCAAGTAGAAATTAATATATTCATAGGCCAATACAGATAGTTTCATTTTCATTTACATTTTCACATCCTCAGTTACTTAAAATGGATCTGAAGGAAATCATCTCTCTATGAATGAAAAACATTTTCATGCAGTATAAGAAACGTAGTTGAGACTAACTGAATATCTCTTTTTGGCCAACATTTTTATAGACATCAATTCTATTTCATTAAGCCTCCCACTCATAAATAAATATTTTTATAATTAGCATTCCCAAACCCAAAATGGAGCATTCTGAACTTGGAGATTGAACTAAGTTTTCCCCACATGACTGCCATTTCTAAAGTCAGCTTTCTCCAAATGTAGCTATTCATGCTAATATTTTCACAGGAGCCTGTGAGAAATCTTTCTTTGGGGTCAAGCTTGTATTTTGTCTCTTGTGATATGAACCCTGTGTTGATAATGACATTTGGAAGCCTTATTAGGGGAAATACTTGGTGAAATCCATGATGAGTGAGACCTTTTAACAGCCTTTGCACATGTGGGTTTTTTTCATCATAAGGGCTTCATGAAATGTCCTTTATCAAAAAAGCTTCCTCTAGATCCTGGAAGCTCAAATAGAAAATAATTGTAGACCGTCACTCACCTCCACACTTTCATCTTCTCAGTGAATTGGGAACAAAGGCTTTTTGATTTGCTCGTACAGCTTTGCTCTTCAGCAAAAACTTCCCTTTCACCTAAGGTCTGAATATCACACTTGTGAACAGGTCATTCAGAGAATTGCTCCTGCTATAGCACAGTTTAGATTTCTGGGACAATGCTAGTCTAATTTAAAGGACTTGGAGGTTTTTTGTTTAAGTGTCATGAATTTCTCTTCCACCTACCCAGAATTAAATGCACATTGTTTTTTCCAACTGTGTGATATGTGTTGGGACAGGGAATAACAACCGGTTTAGCCTCACTTATTTGTTTCTCTGCCTGTAAAATGGAAATATTAATCATTAATAATTCATCATTAACTGCACTACCTACCTAAGTGTTTAACTTGTTCATTAGCTGAAGGCATGTGCACTTTGTACACCTGCTGCACTGACCACATTGTGAAGTCCCATTCACTGTTGCAAAACATCATTCACTATTGTCTGTTTCAGAGGAAGAGCACAGCCAGTATCATTAAAGGGAAGTTTCTTTATTCAATATATGGTATTCTTTTTTTGTAGGTATTTTCTCAGTGCTCAGCTTGGCATCTGAATGTACCACTCTTGCTGCTGAACTTCCCAAAGTTTCTTATGTGAAGGCCTTAGATGTCTGGCTGATCGTTTGCCTTCTCTTTGGGTTTGCATCCCTGGTGGAATATGCTGTGGTTCAGGTAATGCTAAACAATCCAAAGAGAATTGAAGCTGAAAAAGCAAAGATTGCTAAGGCAGAGCAAGTGGAAGGGAAGGGTGGAAATGCTTCCAAGAAGAACACTGTGAATGGCACAGGGACTCCTGTTCACATCAGCACTTTACAGGTAGGAGCTGCAAAGCTTTGTATGTAAAATCAGCATTCTTCTCTATTAACCCAATTCCAGGAATATACTGTTTGTAATAATTTTGAATAGTGCTTAATCTTGGAAGGGGCCAAGACGTTAAAAACATGCTGGTAATTAATGACTAGCAATCTGACAAATCAGTCCCTAGTGATTTGGGGTCAGAAGTTCTAAGTGAAAAATTTGTCTTTTAATATCCTAGAACCATAGTTGCTTCTTAGCTTCAGGTAAATAAAGTAGCAAGCAGCTTTACAGTTGCTGTTTTTCTCATAATAAATAGCAGCTGTCAAACTGTAACTATTCAGAGGACAGAACTCTCAGACAGTATTTGCTGAGAGCATACTCAAATAACACCCAGCTCGTTGCTTTCCCTGGGATGGCCACAGCTGCACTGCACTGCATATCTATGAAGCCAGGAATCTGGAAGTCATGGCATTTGTAGACAAAAGACTGGTTTGTGTCAAACAGTTCCTGGATTTCTTGTGTTGCCAGATGGAATTTATGTGTAAATCAGTCAGATTTCACTATATGATTAGAGATGACATGTACATCTTCATTCAGGCCAAGGTTTTCCATCGTGTTGCTGAATTCCTGATATTTTAGAAGTCCCTATTTGTGCTCCAAGAGTTATCAGACATCCCAGTCCAACTGCCTTCAGTTCTAAGTGATATTTACTTGACATTTATTCTGCAGAAGAAAATACGTTATTCCACAACATGTCTAATATTAATTTGGCTTGTCCTTTTCAATGACTCAGCGATTCTGTTGTATAAAATAAAGCTATTGGGCTAGATCCAAGTGGTAATATTGGCACACTGTGACTTCAATGTTTATTTAAGGAAGGAGTAGTTTATGCAAGAATGGCTGAAATCTTGTCTTAGTATCAAGCTGGGACTGCCCCATAACTAATTGCCCCGAGTCCAGAAGAGGTGTAGGTATTGCAGAGCAGTGCACTTAACTACCATAATTCTCTGGTAGAAGAATCTTTGGGAAATGTTTTGGTAGGCAACTGGTCTCAGCTCAGAGTAACCCCATGACTGCTTTGACTTGTGTCACAGGTAATTTCCCAAGCCCAGGCAACATGAGAACTGTGTAGAAGGAAAATGGCTCTACTGTGGTTTTTCTTCCCCTGAACTGAATGTGATAATTTTGTGTTCAGCAATCTGCAGGTTTCAAATTCAGCTGTTTCTTCTGACAAAATAGTTGCAAAAATCCAGCAGATCAGAATATAACATATTTGTTCTATTTCCAGTACTTAAAAAGTGTTAAGTGTTCAGCTTGATCAATTAAAAGTTTAACAAAAAATTACAGTTTTTCAGTAGTGTGAATAAAACCAGTAGCTAAATTACTGATTCTCCTTGGTATGGACACCCTCTAAGGTACATGCCATTGTCATATCCATGTGGAAAACAAAATTATCTATTATCACCTATGTTGTGCTTTTGTCTTTTAATTTTTTTTCAAGAAGGCACTTTTTTTCAAGAAGGGGGAATCATTATCCACAGAAGTTCAGCAATTTTCCCCATGAATGGTGTCTAGTAGTAGGCTGAGGGTTTTTAGAATTCAGAATTCAGTCTGCCTTCTTCTCATAGCAGCTCCACTCCACAATCTTGAAATGTCAGCCTGAGCTTCTCATGTTTGACCTGCACTTTTCAAGGTCTTCCCCATTTCTTATGAGAGACCTTTAACATTCCAGTAGCTTCTGATGATCTTTATACAGAGATTTGCAAAAAATTTTATTTGCCAAGACATAGTGGAAATAGGTATTCCTTGCTGTTAAAGTTGGTCATGTGGCTGAGTGACTCATGGCTAATGATCCAGCTTGAATTAATCCACCTGCTTTGAAACAGCACCTACCAGAGCAAACATATTCCGGGCTGGTAATTTCTGGGAAGATGACCAGGCTGAGATAGAAAAAGGTCCCAGACCAGTGAATCATTTAACCTCAGGATGTGGTAGGACAGTGATGTTTGATTTTATATATTTGAAAGCTATAAATCTGCTTAGCTGAAAACTCCCTCTCTGAACCTGCTACTGCATAGGCATACTTTGAAAGTTCTTGAAAAGCCTGGAAAACCTGTACTAAAGTCCTAAATCAGAACAGGTGTAAATCTTCTGGTAGCTCTGACTTCTAATCCAAAACTAGGCGTGCCCCACAAAATTTGGATTGCTCCCATACAGACCTAGTAATGATCAAGTAGAGAATGCATTTGTCATATGGAAAGTATGCAAGGGAGAGAAACATTAAAGAAGCAGGTAATGGAAAAAACTGTATGTTGAAAGGCATAAAGAATACGAAACAAAAAGAGGCCAGAGTGCTGTCCCAGAACTTCAGGAGCTGTTTCTCATCAGAGTCATGTAGGATTACGTGGGAAGCAAGACCAAATAGTTCATTAAATGTCTGGAAAGACTTAGGTGGCCTGGTGTATAACTTTAGGAGAAAAGAACAACATATAACTACACCCCTGAAATAAGTATATGTCCTATAGAAATGTTTAAAGATGGTCTTTTTCCCCATAGGAGATGATATTCAGCAAAAAGTGACTGAGGATGTAGCTGGAAATGTCAGCATAGCTAGGCTTGAAACAGTGGGTAGACCAGATAGGACTTGAAGGTAAAGCCAATATAAAAGACATGGAAGCAGAAAAGTCCAAGTGGGGGAAAAACAGAGAACATTAATAATTCAATTTATAAGTGTTTTTCCTCTTTAAATTAAGCTCTTACATATTATGAAACATTAACTAAATGATGCTGATACATATCTTTAGGTTATTAGAGGGGAATCAAATTTAAAAAGAAAGTTACTTTATTTAGCTTTAAAATGCCCCTGATCCTGTGGCAGTTTGTGTTCCCTGAGCAGCAAGTAGTGCATTTGCTGCTTTTGCACTTTGCAGCAGTGATGTCTCTGGAGGAGATTTGGGGAAAAGGCCTGCATGTAAGGTACAGGGGAGTTGCTGGATTGAGAAGATCCTTGGTGTGAGGAGAATCAGAGGGAAGCAAGTGGGGCAATCAGGCATCCCTGTTTCCAGTCTTCATGGAACAACTTGCTTTCATGTGCTTGCTCCATTTGTGAAAGTTAAAATGCCATCTGGTTTGGAAACTCGGCATATTTGATTTTAGTAAAAAACAACCGTAACAAAACCTCATGATAATCCCTAAAAATACAAGCAGCTATTGTTCCATTTTTATGGAGTGAAGGAATAAGCTTTTCAGTGTATCCTAAATATTAAAAGCTTCATGTAGTTCATAACTGCAGGCTAGGAGAAGAGATCCCTTGTAACAAAACCTGCAAGGGTCCACTGAAAGTTTTCAGCGAAAGCAGTTTTGTCACTGTGTCGATAGTCAGTGATCTTGACCAATAATCACCAACTGTGACAGTGAAGATGGCAGGGTGAAAAGAGTGCTCACAATTTGCCAATCATCCAAAGACGGAGAAAGGCTTCCATGGATGTATAGCTACTTCACCAAAGCCTGGGAACTGGCTATGCAAAAGCTGCATGTTGCTAACATACGCCAACCCCTCAAGTCCAAGCTTTATGAGTCATGCTCCCTCCAACAAAAACCCTTGAAATGTCAGTGCCATTTTAAACACAGAGGTTTATCAATATGACTGTCTGATTAAAGTCAAGTGGTCTGTCTGTCAAGATCACCCTGAATCTGTAGTGAAAAGAGGAGAAAATAAGCACTTCTGATGTGTTTTTCTAGGAGAAGCAGTGGCTATGCACTTAGAGGCAAAAAGCCATGAGAAAATACAGCTTGGCTCCCTTAGCTTATAGTTGCTGCAAGTAGATGCTGTTCTAAGCAGAGGAGAAAATTATGCAATCTGGTGATAACTGCTTGCATTGGCTTTTTATTGGGAATCCTCAGCAGGAGTTTGCATGTGTTTCCTAGCAATGAAACATCATACAGTGAGAAAAACAAGCAAAAAGGGAAATGTTTTGAAGATTTTTTTTTTTTTCTTTCATTGCTGACGTGGTTACAGTGAGAGATTGCACTGTTGACTATAACAACATCCCTCCATTTGAAAAGTCACATTTTTATCAAGCCCATTTATAGAACCTGTCCCCCACAGATAATGTGCTAATGACTAGAGAGAACATTTGCTAAAAGAATGGTTCTGGCAGATGATGAATAGCACTATGCAAGTAGTGGTAATAGCTCTTAATGCCAGTTATTTTTAAAAAGAAGTGGTGCTATTGCTTCCTTTATTTTGTGAGAGCCACATCTAGGGTCTGAAACCTGAGATTGGTTATGTTCATCTCTACTGAGTTATAATGTATTTGGCCACTGGTGGCGACCTGTGATGACCTTGTCTTCCCAGGTTTTTCCCCCTCAAGTAGTTCTCCAGACTCAATTTTTTAATTGTAGAACCACCAAAAACCCAGCTTACATTTTACCTTGTACACAAAACCACAGGCTGCATCCTATTTTAATAGTTTCTGACAGCATTTCAGGTACAGAGTAGGTACTTTCTGCTCCACTGACTCCTGTATTCGTCCTTGGAGATAATTCAAAATCTAACTGTACAAAGGCCCCGAGCAGTCAGTCTGCTTTGAGCAGGGGTTGGACTAGATGATCTCCAGAGGTCCCTGCCAACCTCAGATGTGCCTAATACTGTGATATTTTATGTATTAGTATTTTTTTGTCCTGTACTTTGCAAGGCATATTTGGAATGTGGTAGCATATTCCTGCTGATCTGCACCAGAAAATATACTCAGTATGAATACAGACTAATGCTAAACAGTCATTATTTTATTGATGATCTACATCTATCATTATGGTAAGAGCAAGAGAAAAACATAAAACAAGTGCAAGAGAGATGAATAACAGAGCTTGTTAAAAAACTCTTCCTTCGTCTTGTATGGAAGCCCCTTACAGAGCTGGCAGCACTGGGGACAGATCTGCATGCCAGCAGGAGGTTTGGGGGCACAGCAGCAGAGGCAGGTTTGTGGCAGGGAAGATGTGCTGTGTAGGGCAGGGAA